ACAGGCGGCCTTCCCCACCTTCCTCAGCTGGCCTTCTGCCTCGGGAGTGAGGGACAGGTGGGAGCTTCGGAACTCGTCCCCCTGGATCTTTGCCTTGACCTTTCCCACGGGGAACCTACAGGGAAACCTAATTTGGGGCAGCTGGGATGGGAACAGGTCTGGCTGACAACATGGCAAATTCCAAAATGAGTTGGGCAGATCTGTTCCCAAGGTCATGGTCACGTGCTGGTCAACTCAATCAGAAACTTTGCAAATGATTAGTCACAGATTTGGAAGGGGACAGTCCCTTCAACAGAAGAGGCAAGATGTGCTAAAAACAAACAAACAAAAAACTGGCAAAATTAGAGATCTGGTGTGAAAGATTCTATGGCCGAGTAAGTGCTCAGCCACTGCTTTCTTCATCTTTTCTCAGACAGTCCCAGTTCTGTTCAGGCCCTGGGCGGGCAGCCATGTGTGGGGAGGAGGGGCCTGGCAGCCACGCGACCGGTTATCTCTGTCAGGGACTGGCTGAGGCAGGCCACTCGGTCTATGATGGGTTTCTGGAGAAACTGTCTTTCCTAATAGAAGACAGAGTTGCAGTAAGTAAGACACCCCTTCTTTCCTTCCCGGGACTCTTCCTGCTCAGAATGCTGTTACGGTAAGTTGATGTCTGCAGTAAACAGGAGCCTCTCGGAGATGCTAATCCAGTGCCCTGACATGCTTGAGCTATCAAATGCATCCCTTTGGCCCCATCTGATAGCACCAGGTGCTGGGGAAGACGCGGGGAGACAGGAACTCGGGGCGCACCGGTGGCAGTGTACACGGTACAGTCATTCTGGAAAACAATCTGGCAGCATCTGTGAAATCAACTACGACTGTGCACAATGACTCATCCATCTCACTTAGAGTTTCTCCAACTCTCCCACAGTCCACTCGAGTACAGGTGCACGCTGCTCATCACGGGAAGGGGCTGGGCTCTCCTCCTGTCCATTAGCAGGGGACAAGACCAGGCAAGAGGGCAGGACCCCTCCTATGAGCTAGGTGCACATGGAGCAACCAGGTGGGATCTAATAAAGACAGAACAGTCGGCCCTCCATATCCACAGGTACCGCATCTGTGGACTCAACCAGCCATGCATCGAAAGTATTTGGGGGAAAAATGTTGTGTTCTTGCTGACGTGTACTGTGCAGTTCGGCCTATGATGGTCACATCTGTACTGAACATGTACACACTTTTTTTCTTGCCATTTTCCCTTAAACAGGACAGTATAACAACTATTTACACAGTATGTACATTGCATTGGGAATTATAAGTAATCTAGAGATGATCTGAAGTACACGGGAAGATGTGCATAGGTAATATGCAAATACTCATGACATTTTATAATGTCAGTCTAGGGGCCTGAGCATCTGTGGATCTGGGGATCCCCAGTGGATCCTGGAACCAATCCCCTGTGGATACCAAAGGAAGACTGTATTGAATAAAAAGAAAAAGCAGGGAGAGATCTGTAGCAGGATCCCGTTTGTCCAAATTAAACACAGATACCCAATCAGAACAACACAGGGGCAACTGCACAGGCCGGGCATACAGCAAACACGCCGGGGTGGCTGCCCACAAGGACCAAGGCGATGGACATGAGGCAGGACAGGAAAAGAAGAGAGAGGGGTCTTACGGACACCAATGATAATGTGCCTTGCTTTCACATACAATTCAAAAGGAAAAACACAGATTTGGAGTCAGGAAACCCAGGAATAAATGTTCCCATGATTTTTCTGCCTGTCGGCCCTTTGGGAAATAAGTTAACAGAGCCTCAGTTTCCCCACAGTGAAAAGCAAATATGAAGAGTGGCCCTAAGTTGTCCCGTGAGCATCCAAGGAGATTCATGCTGAGAGCCTGAGTCTGGGACTCAGCAGAGGCTTTCTGGGTGCCAACTAAGGACTCAGTTTTCTCATCTGTGAAATGGGGATTATTACATGACAACAGTCCCATTTAGAACCACTGTGACGAGTTCAAATGAGACAAGACGTGAGAAGGACAGAACGCACAGTGATGACACAGTTTGACAGACACAGAGGAGGGCACGTCCTTCAGGGAGCCGTGTTTGTACCAAAAGCCGTGCTGGGGGCTCAGCTCATCTCCGTGGGCGAGGCACACGGAGCCCCCGAACCAGGGAGCAGCGCCCACCCCTCACCCGGACGCCTGCCCTGTCCTGTGCACAGCCCGAGGGAGTGGTGGGGATGTCGGGCTGGCCTTCTGTGGTGCCACTCCTGGGGGCAGACGGGGCCCTACAAATCTATATACATACTTTTTTATTTTTTTCTGTTGCAAAAAGTCATTTTTTAACTGAATAAGGCAAGTTACCAAAAAGAAAAGAGAGGAACACAACAGAAAAAGCAACTGTCATATGACCCCCAAGTAGACAACAAAATCTTCATTTTTCCAACAAAGAGCACATCACTCTTTCTAACTTTCCGTAATCCCGGGAAGAACACCATGTTGTATGCGAGTGTCACATCACAGTTTGTCACTGCTCTCCTTAGGTGACCACCTCCTCTCCGTCACAAGCCCTTGGAGCCTGGGTAAGACTGAGGGATGCAGAAGCACCAGGTACCCTCGGTGGCATTTTGTTTCAGATTTGCCCCTAAATGCATCCAGCTTCAAAAATCCCCTCCCTGCATACCCTGCCTTCCCTTCTCCTGGATCGTGTCTGTGAAATACATTCCTCCAGTCGGGACACAAGGTCAAAGTGATGCCTTGATGGCTCCTGATAAACAGTTTTTCCAAAACCCAATTCATGCTGCCCCTAGGACAGGAGGTCTGAGCCAGGCTCCCTACAGATTCCTAGAATGAATTCCTAGCCCCAGGACAGACTAGACAGGACAGGGAGAGGTCCGAGGGGGACTCTGCTTTGGGAAGATTTCCCCTCCTGCTCCCCTCCCTGCACCACCCCTCCAAACGATTCCTCGCAAACTCGTGTCTCAGGTGCCTGTTATCAGCAGGAGACTGCAGTGAGGAATCGCAGCTCCGAGGCCGTTCTTTAGGGAGTCAAGGTTTCGGCATGAGGAATCTCGAAGGGAGGAATGAAGTGAAAGATAACAAGAGGGCCAAAGATGGCTTGAGTGTGGGCACCGTGTGGTCTGGGTGCAGGACAGCAGGTCGCCCTAGCTGCAAAGGGACGTCCTCTGAGAGCCCAATGTGAAAAGTGGCCGTACCGGTGGATGGCAGGTGGGAGGGCAGCTTTCAGGAGGAGGGGGGCAGTGATCAAAGCCTGCGGCGGGGAAGTGGGACGCTTGCTTGGTGGCCAGCGAGGAGCCCTAGAACAGAAAGCAAACATCTGGGGGTTCTGGGAGTGTGTGTCAGGTGCAGAATGTTGAGGGCCGTGGTGCTGGGAAAGAGAGGAATGGAGATTTGTAAAGCGGTGCAGCCAAGGAGAGAGCTTACGGGAGGCCGGTCTAGGGGCGCTCGGGATGCACTAGAGGAACCAGTTGGGGCGTCCAGGGAGGCAGGCCGCTCGGCCCTGGCCCCGGGCATATGTGGCCCAGCCCCCCTTCTCACTGTCTTCTTTTACTTTCTTTCTAGTACCTGGCACTGTCTGAAAGGTCCTTGTGCTGTATGGATCTGTCATCTCGCTTTCCGCCTGTCTCCCCATGACAACCTAAGCTCCGTATTTGTCTTGTTCAGGGTGCCGGGTACATGTGGGGTGCTCAGTGGGTATCAGAGTGGATGAATGAACATAAGTTCCCTGAGGGCACGGCTTCATCAGCTTTACTCCCTGCTGTCCCCCAGTGTCTGTGCACACTGCCCAGCACACAGTAGGTGCTCAGTGGGTGCTGAGAAGTCTGTCAGCTTCTCATGCCTCAGTTTCAAGTGAGTCACTCAGCCCTTATTCCTCTGCAGGGGATGAAGCTGAAGACAGACCTTGCCACGTACGATGCCTTTGGTGATGCTTATTGGTGAGCGGCGTCCACCCTGAGACCCCCACGGCCTTCTTCCTCTCTCCTCAGGGTTAGAGACTAGATGGAGGACACAGGGACCAAAGAGAAGAGAAACCAAAGTGAAAGAGAGATGGGGAAGAGACCGCTGGGGGCACGTAGCAAGCCCTTGCACACTTGTGCACACGCGCACAAGCTGTATACGCTGTGTGCTGGTCTGGACGTCCAGAAACTTACTGTGTGACCTTGAGCAGGTCATTCTCCTCCTAGGCCCCGGTTTTTCTGATAGTAAACCCTGGGCACTGAAGAACATTTCTAAGTGCCCTTCCAGATCAAAATGCTAAAAACAAGAAATCATCTGGGCTTATTAACCAATGTCACCCCATTAATTTAATTAAAAAGTCATCTAGGGCTTTATTCCTCAGAGCTGGAGCCATGGCGTTAAGGCTTTTCCAGGCTTCCATAGACCTGGCAAACAGCATATCAAATACATTAAACCTATGCAGAGGTATATTAAAAATATTTCCTGTTTGACTGCAAAAGTTGAGCAGCATCTGACTAGTTGCTATAAAGTTATATAATTATGTATCATTGTTTCAATTTTTCAGCTTTGTTTTCATATTCTGAAACTACTAATTGCATCTGTTCTCAAACTTGTTTGTGAAAGCCTGGCAGGTCCCAGGCACTCTACTCCTGGTACCTTCCCGGTCAAATGGACACACCTGAGATGTTTGGCAAAAATGTCACTTTCCAGGCCCCACCCAGAGCCAATGAGCTAGAACAGCTGGTGGGGAGGGAGAGGAGGCTCAGGAATCTGCATTTTAGCAAGCTTCCCAGGTGGTCATTTGCAAACTGAAGTTTGAAAACCACTGCCATAAAAAGAAGCTGAGAACAGGGGCTGGGGGAGGCAATGCTGAAGGAAGAAGGCAGAAGAGAGGTCCCAGCACATGGCTCCTGTTTTGCATGCCTGCAAATCACTTCTGCCCGGCAAGGTCCACCAGCCTAAACAAACTGCAAAACCCTGACTCACCCTCTGCTGGCCCTTCCCGCAGACCTGGAAAAAAAACACAAACAAACAACGATACTCACATTCAGCCTGAGATGGCATTCAACTGTTCTGACTTGCAGGAAGAGACCGGTTCCAACTTAACGGGCACACTGCTTGGAGACAGAAGCCACCGCTGCCAGGGACTGACGTACTACAGGGAGGAATATAAAGAACGCCGTCACCCAGATGTTTGCTGCAACCTGTCTACCCTTGGTCTGTGATAGATAACTGGTTCCAGCAGCGAGCAGTCTCAACTCATCCACAGGAGGGAGGTTTCACTTATTGTCAAGCCACACACACATGCTTGATTGCATGTGCGTGCACACACACACACACACCCCAAACATTACGTGCAGGTGTAGTTAAGCTCCCGCCACGGTTAGGGAGGCAGCCCGGCCACCAGAAGCAATCCAGACTGTCATGCTGAGTGCTAGCAGGTGCAGGACGGTGCTGGGCTAAGAGCGGGTTGGAAAAGAAGGAACTGATTAGAGCAGCCAAGTACTGTGCTGGAGTTTTCCAGCGTATGTTTCACAGCAGTTCATCCCCGAGAGTGTTATCAGTTCCATCCTTCTGACGGGGAAACCAAGACACAGAAAAGACCTGTGACCTCCTCAAGATCCTAGGATCAAACCCTGACCTAGTAAACCCCAAAGCTCACGGTCGGTGCTTTGTGCAGACCTGCCTTAAAATTCATAAGCGGTGATTGTGGCAGGAGGGAGGGGAGTCTGCTCTGGAGAGAGGGGAGCCTATGGAAACTGATCTCTCCAACCAGTGAGAGAACCAAAACAATTTCTTAACAAACAATTTAATTCACAAGCAGTAAATAGCCATCGGAAATCAGAAATCACAGAAATCACAAATAAGCAATACAGGGAGAAAAAAACAACAAAACCCACACACGTAATCACATCTTCCCCAAAATAACTGTGCTATTTATACTTCTGGTTTTTTTTCTAGTCAAATACACGTTTCTCCTGGCCTACAAATAAAATGATGCAATTTTTGCAATGTATCCAAAATGTTGTAATATTGATGCTGGTACGTGGGTAATTAGTGATGCTTGCCCAACCCTAGTCTGTAAATTTATGTCAAACCATGAAACTTGTTCGCAGATTCTAATGGGGAGAGTCACACCTTTCACTTCTTTTGTTTGCTTCCTGTTGTCGTCAGTTCATCACCCACTAATGCATTTAGGGAGGGTTAAAGCCTAGTCCCTCTAAATGCTGAGTTCTGGTAGACATGGCAGCCTTAAAAAAAAAAAAAAAAAAAATCAGGCTAGCTTCCTCCTCCCACAGGTGCAAAAGAATAAGTTTTGTAGCAACTGAGAAAATGATTTTTTTTAAATGTATCTTAATGCCACAGGGAGATGCAGCTCTACTATGCAGAAGGGTCTGGGACCAGACCTCGCACAGACTCCTCCCCCACTGCAAGGACCATCCCTCCAAGTGCCCCCCATAACCCCCATCCAGACATCCCCTGGTTGGGAGAGTGAAAAATACCCTCCTTTCCTTCCCCATGGGTGTTAATGAGGCTCCCTATAGAGACAGAGTTAATCACATCAATTGAAAGACTTTCACACTTGGCCTTGCCTGCCAGGGCTCCGGGAAAGGTGGGTAAGATAAGTCATGTCATAAGATAATTTATAGTTTTTTTCTTTTTCCCTCCTCCACCTGTTTTTTGTGTGTATGTTTTTTCTTTAATGCAGGCATAGTCAATATGTAATGGCGTATCCAGATCTTAAATGAACAGTTTGATGAGTTTTGACAAATGCATGTACCAAAAACACCAAACCACCAAGAGAGAAAACATGCCCCTCACCCAGAAAGTGCCTTTTCCTTCGCTGCCTGCTCTTCTCAGAGGCAACCCAGCACCACTGATTAATTTGGCGTTCTCTAAACGTTCGTAAATGGATCCGTGTTGTGTGTAAAGAGCAGTATGAACAAGGAGCATGAATAGGCAGTTCCTGGTGGGAACGAAAAATACAGTAGTGCCTTGGGAAACAGTCTGGCAGCTCCTCAGAAAGTTACGCATTCAGTTGCCACGTGACTCAACACTTCCCCTCTCAGGTATGTGTACTTGAGGAAAATGAAAACACAGATTCGCTCAAAATCCTGTGCATAAACTCTCAGATTGGCGTTAATCATAATGACCAAAAAATAAAAACAACCTGGTGTCCATCAACTGATGAATGAACAAATAAAATGTGGTATTATATTCATACAATGGAAGGATATTCAGGCATAAAAAGGAGTGATGCATAGAAAGTACAGATGCTGAGACCTCGGGGATAAACCTTGAAAACACTGTGCTAAGTGAAAGAAGCTAGGCATGAAAGACCACACATTGTATGATTCCATTTATATGAAAAGTCCAGAATAGGCAGATCCATAAAGTAGGTTACAGGTGTTCAAGAATGAGGGGTGCGAGGGAGGGTATTGGGGAAGTGACAGATAAAAGGAACAGACTTTTTTTTTTTGAGATGGTGAAAATGTTCTAGGATTGGTAAATGGTATGGTATGTAAATTAAATCTCAACAAAACTACTTAAAGAAACCAAACATTTGGAATCAACCAAAGTAGAGCCAGTTGTGTGCATGGAAAATAGTTCCCTGCAGTGGAATTTTAACTGTGACACAAGATTCCCACACCACTTGGGGAGTACGACTGGTGTCCAGGAAGGTCTCCTTCCCACGACAAGGTCGTGGGGTTTGCTGCTTTTCCCAGAGGTCCCTGTCCTGTCTTCAGAGTCCAAACTCCTAAGAGTCCAGGAGGTGTTCACCAGATCCACTCATTCCTTCCACAAACACTAACGGAGTTCGTGTTTAGGAGAAAGCACAGAACCACATCTAATCTTATCATCGTATTTCCCAGGCGCCTGCATATTTCCCAGGCGCCTGCATTTTTAAGGACATTTCGAATGCCTCTGTGCGACTGGTCCTGTGGCTAGCAGGTGATGCGAGGAGCCCGGAGGGGTGGAAAGAGCCCATTACGGCAGAAAGGCCAAGAACTCTGAGGTCCCTGGACTGGTTCTAAACCCTGATTCCACCACTTACAACTGCACGACTTCACCTCTTTGTGCCTCGTGTCCTCACCTGCGAACACCAATAACCTGCCCTAGGGTGGAACCATGAGCGGCCCCAGCTACGGGAGGCAGCCAATGGATGTTTCTCTCTCACACTGATGTCTCTTTCTCTCTCCCTCTCTCTCCCTCTCCCTCTCTCTCCCTCTCCCTTCCTCTCTCTAAAATCAATTTTAAAATATCTTTCATAAAAAGGAAAGGGCATCTGTGTTCCAATAAATCCCACTTCATGCCATGTTCATGGAAAGCACGCAGAACAGTGCTGGGCGCGGAGGCCGCGCTCGGGAGCCCCCGGGAACCACGCCCCAGGCCACGACGCGTGTTCAACCGCGGGCTGGGCCCTCACGCGCCGTCTGGCACTTAGACCGCACCGCCATCGTGCGAGGCTGGAACGTAACTGGGAAGGTGAAGATGGGGGCGAGCAAGGTGGCGGAGCCGCAGCAGATCCAGGTCTCCCGCGAGCCCTCGCTTCTGACCGTGCTGGCTGCCAGGGCCCAACAGCCAACCGGACCCACTCAGGCCAGCTCCAAACACGACAGGCTGTGATTTAATCCGTTGGAGGTTTGTGTTGCAGAAACCAAGGGCTGAAAGGGAACCACAGGGCACCTCACAGGCTGAGAACAGCAGGTGTCTGGTGCCGTGACACATGCCAAAGAGAAGAGGCTGGAAAGGGCATATCCACGCAGGTCCTGGGCCGCAGGGGCTCAGGAGGTGGCGGTGGAAGGAGGGGCTGGCCCAAGCTTCCTGAAGGGGATGGGCCCGACTGAATAGCCTACATGGACCCTGCTCCAGCCACCCTATGTTATGGGAATATACCCTAATGAAGTAGGAAAATACCAGTGGCGAAGCTTCAATTATGAGAATATTCACGGAAGCACTGATTAGAATGGTAAAGGTGAATTCATACTTAAGAAAAATGGGAGGAGCTCTGCCACTTACGTCTGAACAACGGTGAAGCTCAGGGTCCAACAAACCCAACGGGGCGGAGCAGGCACTGAAGTGGGAAGATGGTTTTCATGTATTTAGTGAAACAGTTAACAAGGGAATGTGTATATGACCAAACGATGACGCGTATGTGTGTGTGCATCCTTTCACTTAACTAGTCACCTCTCAGTGATCACAAGTGTTTTTAACTTCTTCCTTTCATCTGCCTGGATTTGGGGATTTTTTCTGGAAGAGATCGTTAGTGCTTTGTAATAAGAAATAAAGGATGGCTGGTGTCCAGGCGGGAGTTCCATACTCCCACACGGTCTGACTGGTAACGTGGAATCGCTGTTCATTCATTTATCCAGTGCATCCTTAGAAAGAGACTGTCCCAAGGCAGGGGCTGGGTGATGTGCGGACAGTGGAGGTGGCTGAGGCAGAGAGAGCTCCATTTGCTCCGTGGGGAAGCGGCCAGGTGCCCACATCAATGTACTCAGTGGCCGGCTCCTCTGCAGCACTGGCACAGGGCACTCTCAGCTCATTAAGAAGGGAATCATCCTTTCCTATATTTGAATTCAGCCTCGATTACACTTCCCACACACTCAGCTAATGATCTCTTAAGACTGAAGGAATCCTCATAGCCATACTGGGACTGGCATTTGGTCTTAAAGCTAGGCTGATAACCCCACACGTAAATCTCTGTTTTCCTCATCTGCGAAGTGGGTACCCTCTCCAGGGAGCTGGGAGGGTTAGCTAGGGTTCGGAGAGCGCTCTACACTGCACAGGCCTGCACACACAACCGGGGTGATTTAATGTCCAGATCCGAACCCCTTTCTACAAGGGTTGACAACCTGGAATTTTAAATCATGACAGGTGCCAAAGTATGGGGAGGAAAACATGTTTACAGCTGAAGGACTGGACAGAGGAAGCAATGAGCAGCATGGTCCCAAGCCACTGCGCCAGCCAGACTCACGCCTTAGGTGCCTTCCAACTCGGCCAGCACAGGGACAGAACACGTTTATAACCCCAAGCACAGTCTGTATGTTTTAAATGGGAAAATAACTTTCTCTGTAAGATTTTTTCACTTACGTGAAAGAAAAGTATTTAGGTCCTACAGTCTTGAAAAGAAATCTTATTTATCTCACCTCA